CCCCCCCCCCCCCCCCCCCCCCGTTTCTATGGCAGCCAGAAAGATAAGCAGAAGAAGGCTTCTTGGAGGCTGACAGAAGCTTTCAAGCAGAATCTGCAATATACCTTATTTGCACCTATGGTATGTGACTAGATATACATAGAGAAATATTTTTTTAAAAAAAATCACTGATCTTTGTACATTTGAAACATGACACTCAGGAGAGCAAGTTCAGATCTGAAGAAACATGCCTGATCAAAACAAGATTCTCTCTTCCATCCAAGAACTAAAGGAATAAAGAAATAGCTATAATGGCCCTAGCTTTTAAAGACTCCAATGTTTTTTGACTGTTCTCTCCCAGTTTAAACACTACTTCCTGCCAATTGTGTTTATCTTTCTTGCAGCTGTCTGCTGTTAGCTTTTGGTTACTTGTCTACATAGGGCTCTGTTAAAGCCATCCTGGTTTGTGTTTTGCCTATTTCAATCCCCTAACTGAAGTATTTTCTGTGAATTAGTGTTCTGGATGAGGAAGAGATCTTACCCATCATGATTAGTAATACATATTAAAGCCTACTCTTGCCAATATTGTTTTTGGTCTTGCTTAACAAAGGAAGATACATCCCATGGCAGAACAGTGTACAGATAGTGAACCTTTTTCATTCTCTTCCCCTCATGTCGAATTACAAATGGATACAAAACTCTTGTATGGAATTTCACATTTTATTGTTTGGTATGCCTCAGCCCAAAGTCATTTTAGATTCATGGAGCTAATTGTGTAATACTAAGATAGGAAAAATTACACTGCAACATACAGTAATAAAAATTACATATTTGACTGATTTTGCTAGCCTTACATATGCACTAGATGCTAGTGGAATTCAAAAGGCTGTTTCTCAGCATGAAAAACAACACATCATCCTGAAATCATGGAATTCTATAACCCCAGGAAATAAAACAGCAGTTCCCTATCTGACCTTAGCATTTACTAGCTATGCAACTTTAGAAAACAGGTATAAAGAATGTTAATATATTCAGGCAAATGTTATTTTACTGGATGAATGCAATAAATTAATTGCATTTATATAGATGTTTCCTGTTCAGTAAAAGTATTGAAACACATGGATCATTTTGAATAGCCTGGATAATCTTTTTGTTCTTGATACTAGCATGGAAAATGTGACAATGCAACAGGTGTGATGTGGCACTGTAAATATTGAAGGGGTCCAGGCTCAATTTGGAGAGTTTCAGAGACTGCATTGGTAGAGTTATGCTGTCACAGCTAAACCTTTCCATCCTTTTTCTTGGGTGGGTGCTAAAGTAAGAATAGGAATGAGAGATAGCTGTGGAACAAATGCCATTTTGCACTCTTTTAACACTGTAAAAAAGAGTTATATTTACTTATGGCTGATTCTGGCCTGATTTAAGGACTTTAAAGCAAACCTGTCATGCCCCCCTGTCGAAGGAAAGGACCCTGATTCCCTTCACAAGGCACACCTGGGGATGGAGTTTAAAGGAGAGGCAATTGAGAGTGGCATTTGTCAGGAACGAATGTTGAATTCATCTAGTGCTGTGAGTTTTAGCTGGCATTCCTCCTGTCTGTGAATTGTTGCCAGCTTCTGTGTGCTTATCTGCCTTGCTGGAATTATTGGACTCATTCTCTTGCCCTGCTGTGATTGATTGCAGTCATTCTGCTTACAGCGTTTGGACTGGTGTATCTGCAGCCAGAGGCTGTTGTAGGTTTGTGGGAGAGCTTTTCTCCAGGCTGGAGAGTAAGTGGGACATTGGGGGCAAAGTTGGAGCAAATAAAGGGACTCATACCTATTTTCTGGCTGTGTTGCCTTCATGCTATCACCTGGGACATCACAAAACCACTGATTCCCATTTGTAAACTGAAGAGGAGGGAAAATTGATCTGAAAAGCATTGTTTATGTGAAAGGGTAGTGGTTAAGGGTAGTATTTGGAACAGGAGCCCGGTAGAAGCTTCCAACCGTTTATTTTAAATGAAAAACAAAAGTTGTGGAGGGGGGACCATATACAGGTGAAACTCAAAAAATTAGAATATAGTGCAAAAGTTTATTTCAGTATTGCAACTTAGGTGAAACTAATATATGAGATAGACTCATTACATGCAAAGCAAGATAGTTCAAGCCATAATTTGTCATAATTGTGATTATGGCTTACAGCTCATGAAAACCCCAAATACACAATCTCAGAAAATTAGATTACATGCAATCAATAAAACAAGGATTGTACATAGAACAATATCGGACCTCTGAAAAGTATACTTTTCCCTTCCACATAACTTTCTATTAATGTGCTTTGATACAGCACTTTGGAAACATCCAACTTCGTTTGCAATTACTTTTTGAGGCTTTCCCTCCTTATGGAGGGTGTCAATTATGGTTTTCTGCACAACTGTCAGGTCGTCAGTCTTTCCCATGATTGTGATTCCTACTGAACCAGACAGAGACCATTTAAAGGCTCGGGAACCCTTTGCAGGTGTTATGGCTTAATTAGCTGATTAGAGTGGGACACTTTGAGCCTAGAATATTGCACCTTTTCACAATATGCTAAATTTCTGAGATTGTGGATTTGGAGTTTTCATGAGCTGTAAACCATAATCATCTCAATTATGACACATCACAGCTTGAACTATCTTGCTTTGCATGTAATGAGTCTATCTCATATATTAGGTTCACCTTTTAAGTTGCATTACTGAAATAAATGAACTTTTGCATGATATTCTAATTTTTCAAGTTTCACCTGTACAGCCCACAGACTGCCTATTTACTCATGCCTGCTGTTTGTTTCTCCTGGCCGCCTTGGCATGTGTAGATGGATTTTAAACCTCTTTCTAAATGTCGAGGTCTTGTGCCTTCAATCCTGGTAAGAAACTTGTGTTTTTTATTTTAAGGAATAAGATGACATCTCATGTTCTGAGAACTCCCGAGAATCCAATATCTTTCTGTGTCACTTTCCTTACCGTAGTTGTAACAGCTCTTTGAAATACAGAGTTTGAGAAATAGTAATTAAGACACCAGTACCAGGATGTGTAGCCATGATGGGAAAGTTCTTGAATCTACATTTCAGTACTTTAATCCTTGAGAAAGATATGTATCTGGAAGTGATGCCTGCACAGGATTTTCAGGTAAATTGAATTGCACTTTAATCTTCCCATGTGGCATGCAGACTTTAAAACAGATGAAGGTTGGGGTGTATAAAAATAAATCAGGGCTGTAAATGCAGTAAAATGCACTTCCCCCTTTTCATGTTATAAACATAAAACAACTCTACTTACTCTTTTCTCCACAACTTTACTAGTAAGTGCCAGTTCTTGAGGCAGGCAGTGTTTTAAATGAACAGTTTCTGCACACAAGTTTTAAAGGAAGAGCAGGGTAGTTTCTGCTGACATTGTATTAGATATTCATACTTGCATGCATTCATATAGTTGGATGTAACAAGGCTGATGATTGCTTTGACAAAATCCCTACAATTTTCTTGCCAACATTTTTAGAAAATAATCTGCCATTACCTTCTTCCAAAGGGCGAGAAAGACTGAATGGCCCAATGCTATCCAGTTGGCTTTGTGCCTAAAGCCAGTACTAAATCACATGTTCTCCTGATTTCTAGCCTAGTGCCTTTAACCCCTACACCAAATTGACTCAGGTTTCCTTTAAATAACATAATATTTGATTGATTGGATAAATATTAGAAGAGTAAGAAGCTAAATGGCTGATATTTTTGTAAACAAAGTCCAATTTAGGTTAATAGATTATTTAATATTTTTCTCCAATGGAACCTAATGCAACTAATGTTCTCTGTATCTAACCAGCAAACTGGTTAAGAACACAACATAGCTGAATTTGAAGTTTTAAAATGCCTGTTTGTTGAGCTCTTAGCTTTTCCAACCTTTGTGAATAAATTCAATGTATATTTGTGTTAATATTTTATTTTCATTACACTAATGGACATGAGATATTTCAGTGTTAGGGAGCCCCTTCCACATACATAGTTACTAGCTTAACCTGTCATTATCATTCTTCACACTTCAGTCAACCTCTTCCCTAAATGGCAAAATTAATTTAGATTTGGAGGGAATTATAATGAGTTTCTAAATGTAATCAGCAAAAGAAATAAAACCCAATGAGTTTTGAATTTGGCTTTGCTCAACTAAAAATATTTTTGTTTGACTCTTCAAAAACATAGAACGTAGCTGAGAGAATATGACTTGTGGAAGGCAGACGAAATAGCAAAATTGCATGAAGAAAAAGTACAAGCCAAATAACCATTTCATTAGTTTTTCTCCTTTATTTTACTTAAATGCAAAAACATGCAAAATTGTCCTAAATGTAGCTTGGGGAATTGTCAGTCCAAAAGCTTGGAAAGAGGGATGAATATAATGGCAGTACATCAAAAGGAATCTACCTAAATAAAATGTGCAATACAATCTGTGGACAATCTGACAATACTTGCATGTTATGCTGCTGCTTCTGGTTTCCATTCTTGATTGTGTTGTCCCTTGTTGCTCCCGTTGCTCACAGTACACTCATCCATAAAGTAGGAAACACTACACTTGGACACAAGCATTTAGTAGTGCTTTCTACTTTATGGATGAGTCCACTGTCCATAAAATGTAGTTTTGATCTGTGACTGGCTTCCACTGTTGTCTTCATCCAGAACCAACTTCTGAACTGTCCTCCTCCTAAGTCTCCCCTGCCCCACCCACTGACAGCTCCCTGGTGGCTGATAAAACAGGGAGATGCTAGCAGGAGGAGAGGTTTGACAGTCTGTTTTGTGGGCTAAGAGTGAGACAGCATTTTTGCTAGTATTAAAAGTACTCTTGCTGCCCAGATACATTCACAGCCTATATATATATAGTTTCCACTGCTTCTAGCAACAGAGGATAAAATGGCGAATAAATTAAATCTGGATGGGTTCACTGCTTTACTAGATACACATGGCAAAATTGTGTAGAAAATAAGGTTCCAAATTCTCTGTAAATGGCTTAATTTTTTTCTATTTTTCTCTTCTATTTCCTTCTATCTGAACATCTCCCCTCACCCCGCCCTCTTGCCCCAGTTGTAGAAAGACTAACTTGTGAATTAGCTTATAAGTAAAAACATTTTGAAAGGGAAAAACTGGTGCTTGACATTCCACTTTTTTAGATGGCCATTTCATATGACTCCTTTGAACCAGTTCACATGGCAAAGTGCTGAGAATATATGAATATGTGCACAGCCTGCACTTTTTAGTAGTGTGTACCAAGTCCAGGGTAGAAAGTCAATGCTCATTTTTCACCCCAAATTCTTTTTATGCATCTCTTCCTATCTTGGTTGTCCCTGTGCAGTTCTGATTTCTGGAATGCCTTCCCCAAATGTCGGGGGGAGGGGGGGGAGGAGAACATTTACTAGTTCTCCTTTGCCCTTAAAAGGCACATTTTGGGTGAAGGTGCTAAACCAAAACCTAACTGTGAAACTGAACTAAATTCATCTTTCCTTTTCCATTCCCACTCTCTCACCCTCTTTTTAAGTGCTAAGCATATTGGTTATTTATACAGGGATTTCACTAATAATGGCAGAATTATTTTTTAAAAAACAGGTATGTCTCTTGATGTCTTCATACTGTATAATTGGTCCTGAAGTAAGTGGTAAAATCTGGCTTACCCAGGGGTGGGCTGCTGGGGGTTCATAGGGGTTCAGGAGAGCCCCTAGCTAAGTTTCTGTGCAGTTCAGAGAACCCCCAAATCCCACTCCTGGCTGGTCCCGCCCACCCCGCCCCTCGTCTCCCCTCCCAGGAGTCCCCATATGGCATATTTTGGATGCAGGTAAGTGCAGGGTGTGCGCGGAGGCTCAGGGAGGGCAAAAGACAGGCCTCCTGGAAGTACGGGAAGGCCGGAAATGGGCCCATTTCCAGCTTCCAGAGAGCCTCCAGACCCCGGGGAGGCCACTTTCTCCCTCCCGGAGGCTCAAGGAAAGCCTCCAGAACCCGGGGAGGGCAAAAACACCCCCCCCCCACTGTGGTGCAGGAGGCCGAGTAGGCCACGCCCACCCATCAACCAGGCAGAGAACCTGTTGCTAAAAATTTTGAAACATACCCAGTGCATGTTTAACCAAATAAACTTTTTTTCCAAATTGGTAGCCATCACTCCAGCTTACTTAACCTTCCATAATTGTTTACACTGAATGTTTAGCTCTGGAGATTACCCAGTAAGAGGTGTGATATTAGAGTAGAGGTAGGTAATGCATTTCAGTTTTTCTGCACATGCACTCTGCTCAAATAGCACTTGGAGCTGCAAGATTGTAAATTGTAGTTCAAAACTTCGAAAGGACACAGAATTACTCTATACTGGATTAGAGATAAATTGTCTGTGCTTTGAGGTTTTAGCAGAATGCCTGATCATTGAAGAGTGGTGATGAATTGAAAAAAAAATCTGAGTGAAAGCTGTTGAATGACATTTCTTTGATACTGCATTTCTCAATCGTCACCTTGAAATCTCTTCTTTGGCAGAATTAGGTGTTTTGCAGGTTGTGGAGACAGACGTGTGTAGTTCAGGTTTTGCTGTAGAAAGCAAGTATTTCTGTTGAGAATTAAAAAAAAGGTGACCAATTAGCTTTGAAAACCAATATAATTTTAGCAGTCTGGTAACTCTGCTGCATGTTAAGAAGTTGACTTCATCTTTTTCAAAAGTCAGGATTTAACTTTCAAAAGCACCCTAATTTAGTTTTAGTTAATGAAAAAATGTTTTTTGAAAAAGGAAGATCTAGCACACCAAATCCTATTTGAAATTCTTGCCTTTTCCACTCACGTTTAGAAAAACAATAAACAGGTCAACTTTCAGTCAATCTTAGTTTCATAACATTTTGGTGGAGGGAGATAAAATGAAGAGTGATCCTTATGTAAACGGCATGAGAATAGTAGGACATAAATCCAACATAAGTAAATTTAGTAGAGATAACAGGTGAAAGCTGAGAAAAGCAGCCATCCACGTTGATCAGCTACAGTACCTTACTATCTTTAAACAGTACAGCATAGTGTGAATAGCATACCTGTTTCACAATGCCCAGTCAGATAAGGAAGACAAAGTATAGCCATTTTTCAGTGTACAGTACTATAAAACCAGGCATTAGCTTGTTTAATGGGTAAATGTATTTTTTTTTTGGGGGGGGGGGGGCAGCTACAGGTAAACAGGTTTAGTGTGACCTACTATCACATGTGGCCTGTAAGATGAATGTTGTGGAGACCTATCTTAATTATATTTTGGGTTGGGAAATGAGATATTTAACTAGGATAAAGAGCATTTCTTTAGAGAGAGGTTTTTATTTTAATTCTAAAAGTGATAGACAATTTACCAGAATACAATTTGATTTTAATTAAGTAAATACATTGTTTTTCAATCACCATATTATAGGACAATGTCAACTCAAAAAACATTTCTATGCCCGTTTTATAGCTGCCAACAGAAGAGGGGGGAAGGAGTTTGAAAGAGCAGCGCAGCAGTTTGGAATCAAAAGTGCATTCCATTCATATCTTGCAGAGATTGTAACTAGGTGACGAGTTTCTGGCGCACAAATCTCTAAGTGGAGAACATGATGGATGACTCTTGGCTATGAATGTGTTTCATTGGAGAATATGAATTATGATACACCCAGAGGGGTGGGGGAAAACCAGGGTCAAGGGTGACAGTGAATTACGTGTCTCAGAATCGGCTACACATGTCATACCGTCATGTTAGCTCCTAATAAATCCTCTGGTGTAATGTGTTGCTTTACAAAGATTAAAAAACAAAAATTAATATATCCATTGGCTCAGCGAACTCATTTTGAATTTAGGTCTGATCACATTTACTTAAATATGACCTTTACAAATATCAGCTTGACTTATTTCTAAATAATGCAGTACAGTAGACCCTCTGGTCACGAACGCTTCTGACCATCACCAAATCACGTTCCAACCAAAAAAAATTTTGAATCTGGTCACGAACACATACTTGGGTGGCAATCAAACACAACCCCTGACCCAGAAATTCCTGAAGATGAAACATTAGAAGACAAAGAAATCGCCAAAGTTATGGAACAAATTATGGTCGTGACCAGAGATTCTACTGTATATGGCAAGCAGAGCCATAGAAGAGCAGCACAATAATTTATGGCTGTTGTATGCACTTGGGTTATCAGTAAACGTTTTTGAAATACAGTGCAAAGAACCTGTTGGCTTGTCCATAATCTCTTGGAAGAAATCCAAGTCTTCAATCACTTGGGATAAGCCCCAATAAATGCAGTGGAACGTTAAATAAAGAATTAAATATATTAAATATTTTCCAAAATGAGCCAAAGAGCTTTACAAAGCAGCAGGTTCAGATATATATTATTAATTTGATTTTAAAACAGTGGAAATAAATTGATGAAATTTCTTTCCCGTATTTTTTTCTCAAAATATTGACATTTAAAGAATATTATGGTTAATTTATCTAGAGATCCCATATCCAACTTTCTTTTCTTCATTGTCTTTGATCTCTCCCTGCCCTTCTTCCTGTTGAAGCAGCAGTTTATACATTTTCTTTTATGAAATCATTGCACTGTGATTGAAAGCATTAGGGTCCCATTACAGAAGCACCATACTATGTAGGATCACTCTGAACCTCAACCGAAATTAATTTTTTAAAAGACCAAAAATTTTGAGAACACAAAACTCTCATAGATTATTTGCTATAGTGCTTCTGTCTAAAACCTTAGGAGATTTTGGGAGGAAAGCCAGAATTTTAAACAAGAATACTAAAAATATTGGAGACTTGTATTCTTTTTGAGTTTTGGCCATTTCAGCATCCATGCTAGAGGCTACCTGCAGTACTCTTGCAAACCATTAGTGGCCTGAGCCACATGTTGAGAATAATTGAACTAGATCCTTTGTGCATTAACTTAGACAATTTATCTACTTCCTTCAATGATTTTTGGCAAATGCCTTTCAACTTTGCCTTTAGAGCACTATTGTTAAGTAAGGATCAGGCACTACGGCAGTGGGTCCCTTTCCTGCAGAGTATGCTTTTACAAACTCTTGAATATGAAAGGATCACTTATGCTCCATTCTATCTTTGACATTGCATTTCACTGTGGTTCCAAAATGGAAGAAAAGAAACCATGCATCATGTCTTACCAGCCAGTCTTGGTCCAGAGGCAGGATTCATGAAGGAAGGTTGATTGTATCCTGAGTCAAAGGGGAGTTTTCAGATCAAGGTTCTGTGCAAAGGTGCAGGGATTTCCTTACACCCAAACAACATAGGTTTCTATACAGAAAGAAACAGCCTTAGTGAACAATAGAACATAGGGTATAGAATTCCTTTAAAACACCATTAACACTCTTGGGCCGGAGAGGGGAGTTGGTTTGAAAAGAATTTTGATTTTCTTTCTCAACACTAGAGGGCACATGGTTAAATTTCAAAGTTCCCTTAAACAGTGCCTGAAGAAGCCAAAATGTGCCCTCACTGTCATCTCTGCCACATTTCCTCTTATGAAGTTGGACTATGACTTATGTAACTTCTCAATTTTTGCTTTCCATCTTAAATAGGTTTAAAGTAGGATAATATGAGGAATAGGGATTTATTTATTTTTTGTCTTGAAACATTTACTTGCAACCATAGACATAGGAATTTAACAGACTTAAGGACAACAGCCCCATTCTTTATTCCACCTGCTTCTTGTAAAAATATGGACCTTAAGGCACTCCTTTCTCTATCTTCCCTTTAGACAATGTTGCCCTAGTTCTTGCTCAGAATATCTGACTTGATACACTGGTAAGTGAGACTCTCAAGGAGCCCATGGATCCATTGTCTTCTATGAGACAAATGATTCTTCTATGAGACAAATGATTCTTCTAGGTTCATAGCTGGGGCTAGAAACTGGAGCAACTAGCCATGGAGCCCCACCCTTCCCCTTAACAGCCCATAGCAATTTTGTAAAATTACCTCTTGGTTTTTCGCAATCTTTCTGGACCACCAGGGAAACCAGCTGCCAGATGAAGTAAAGAGAGATGGAGGCAGTGGTGCTTGGCCCATTTATAGAAGATGCCTCGTCACATCTCCCTGCCTAGTTTCTCCTCCCACTCGAGAAGATAATCACATGAGTCTTGCTATCTCTCCCTTCCCTCCCAGGCCCAAACCACAGGAAGTTTCAAGAGGCCTCTCTTCTCTTAAGTAGAGCAGGAAATTATATCTACCCACCCCAATGGCTCAGAGTTTTGCCTCCACCCCTCCCCATATACCAGGGAGCTGTGGTTAAATCTCTTTGTAGGGTAGCTCTCAGCTAATGAAGCTATACTCTTGGTGAAGCTTGGGCACCTGTATCCTTTGAAAATAGTGTGATCCTGAATCTACAGCAGCTCGAAGTGAAGTTAGATTGAGCAAAGGATGTTGAAATGTGCAGTAGACAGCCCCACTCAGCCATGCTGTATTCAAATGTAGGACGGTGCAGACATGCTCTGTGGAACTGTGGAGTAGAAGACTTTCTTCAGTGGAAGACATCTCTCTTTCAAGAGAAGGTTGTGTGGTCCCTTCTCTATGCCTACAATCAGTTCTCTCTTCTCACCACAGATATATCAGTAAACATTTTGGAAGACCTCTGTATGCTAATGATGAAGCTTGACTAACTTGTTAGTGGCTTTACAGATGTGTTCCTTATCAGTTTGATTATATAGTTTATCATTTTTGTTTTGCAGTTGGGATATGTCAATAGAAACCTGTTTATCCTCCTTTAGTAATTTACCTTGCATTAACATATGCCTGTGAATAACCATCTGATCTACAGGTGAAACTCGAAAAATTAGAATATCGTGCAAAAGTTCATTTATTTCAGTAATGCAAACTTAAAAGGTGAACCTAATATATGAGATAGACTCATTACATGCAAAGCAAGATAGTTCAAGCCGTGATTTGTCATAATTGAGATGGTTATGGCTTACAGTTCATGAAAACCCCAAATCTACAATCTCAGAAAATTAGAATATTACATGCAATCAATAAAACAAGGATTGTACAGAGAACAATATTGGACCTCTGAAAAGTATAAGCATGCATATGTACTCAGTACTTGGTTTGGGCCCCTCTTGCAGCAATTACTGCCTCAGTGCGGCGTGGCATGGAAGCTATCAGCCTGTGGCACTGCTGAGGTGTTATGGAAGACCAGGATGCTTCAATAGCGGCCTTCAGCTCTTCTGCATTGTTCAGTCTCATGTATCTCATCTTTCTCTTGGCAATGCCCCATAGATTCTCTATGGGGTTCAGGTCAGGCGAGTTTGCTGGCCAATCAAGCACAGTAATCCCACGGTCATTGAACCAGGTTTTGGTGCTTTTGGCAGTGTGGGCAGGTGCCAAGTCCTGCTGGAAGATGAAGTCAGCATCCCCATAAAGCTCGTCTGTGGAAGGAAGCATGAAGTGCTCCAAAATCTCCTGGTAGACGGCTGCGTTGACCCTGGACTTAATGAAGCACAGTGGACCAACACCAGCAGATGACATGGCTCCCCAAATCAACACAGACTGTGGAAACTTCACACTGGACTTCAAGCATCTTGCAGTTTGTGCCTCTCCATTCTTCCTCCAGACTCTGGGTCCTTGGTTTCCAAATGAGATGCAAAAGTAGTTCTCATCAGAAAAGAGGACTTTGGACCACTGAGCAACAGACCAGGTCTGTTTTTCTTTAGCCCAGGTAAGACGCTTCTGACATTGTTTGTTGTTCAGGAGCAGCTTGACAAGAGGAATATGACATTTGAAGCCCATGTCCAGGATCCGTCTGTGTGTGGGTGGCTCTTGATGCACTGACTCCAGCCTCAGTCCACTCCTTGTGAAAGTCCCCAACACTTTTGAATGGCCTTTTCCTGACAATCCTCTCCAGGCTGCAGTCATCCCTGCTGCTTGTGCACCTTTTTCTTCCACACTTTTCCCTTCCACATAACTTTCTATTAATGTGCTTTGATACAGCACTTTGGGAACATCCAACTTCGTTTGCAATTACTTTTTTGTAATGTAATGAGTCTATCTCATATATTAAGTTCACCTTTTAAGTTGCATTACTGAAATAAATGAACTTTTGCATGATATTCTAATTTTTTGAGTTTCACCTGTATACATCTGAATTTTGGCATGGACAAATTGGGCAAAATTCAGGTTCATGTTTGTCTGGAAGCATTTCTTTCCATGTGGGGCCATCACACTGGGGATTGGATGGTCATTCCATGGATGGTCCTGAATTAGGATTGGTGGTATTTGATTTTAGTTCTGGCAGCATACTTAAGCACTGGCCTTGGATTGAGAACAGCATACTAGAGCTACTACAATCTGGTACTACAGATTTGGGGGGATACAATTTAGTTGATATAGGGAAACTGTCAGATGCTTATGTATTTGGGCAATCTTTTGTACTATGCTCTATCTTCCTGTCTTTCCCATGCCACCTGCCTGGAACTCATTATAACTTTTGGTGGTATTTTTAGGTCCTTTTTTCACAGCTTCTCTTAATGTCTACATCATTCCTGATGGATGTTGTGTTTTGCTTTATGTTTTCTCCAAGGTTTTTCTGGACATGTTTAGAATTTTGAGAACATGCTATTAGCAGTTCTATTAAATGACTTCCATGCATAATGTGGCAAGTCATTACATCCATATTTACCTGAAGGCAAACTGCTGGACTTTTTCCTACCAGATTTTCTAGGTTTCTACTGCTTGAACTTGTTTTATTATTTTCTGGGCAACTAGACTCACTTCCAAGCAAAGCCTAGCCTTTTATTTTCTAAGAATATCTGTAGGAACCTTGAGGAACCCAGGAACATTATTGGAAATAAAAATAATAGAAATAAAATAAAATGACTGAGGCCCTGGTAAGGTCCAAGAAAAGTGTCACTGGGCATGTTGTCACTCCTTGCTGCAATATTGGGGATCCAGGGAGTAATCAGTGTTTGTCTAGACACATCATGAATCCTTGTAAAGATGTTTTTCTTTTCAGACTCTGTTGAACCCAGATTGCTATTAACACTTTATGACAATTTTGCAACAGGCAGATGTCAGAAGTAAACAATTTTTGAGCATCTTGTTTACCACTAATTAATTGAAAGAGTCTGAATGTATCTAGGTAGAAAGTATAGAGAGCAAGCTAAGGATTGATTTAACAGGACATTCATATATTTATCCCTGAAAATTGAAATGTAAGTAGGAGCCAGTATTAAATAATATTTCCCAGGGCTTTTTTTGTAAGCTAGTTGTAATTCATCATGGAGACATAGCATTAATACATACTGTGTGTGCAGTTTGTATTATTTTATTTCCCTTTCAACTATCTCTTAACATAGAACTCCAAAGAGTATAGACCCTTTGAAGGGTTGGGATTCTTTCTTTTGAGTTTCTCAAAGTTTTTAAAAGGCAACGTGGATCCTGGAGCTCCTCAGACTTTAAGATGCTCAAAGCTTGATATAATCCTGAAACTGATAGAAATTGAACACCTCTGCCATAAGGTGATAAGGTGTTACCTAGAGCAGGGGTCCCCAACCACCGGGCCGTGGACCGGTACCGGTCCGTGGATCACTTTGCACCGGGCCGCAAAGAAAATAAAAATAAAAAATAAAATAAAAATGGCGGCTTTCTTCGCCTTCGGTGAATGCTGCTTGGATCAGGGATCAAGGACACAAATGAAAGAAGGGGAGGGAGGAAGCAACCAAAGCCTGTCCTACTCTCTGGCTCAGTGGCTTCGGTTTCCTCCCGCCTCGTTCCTCTCTCAGTCACTCTCTCGCTCCTCCACCAGCCCAGGAAGAAACTGCTTCAAAGAAGCTGGCAGAGTGGGTTTTCCTGTCGGCGCAGCTCCCCCGAAGCGCCCGTTCACCCCCACCCCGCCGCCAATCAATCCAGGTTCAATCCAGTGCTCCGTTCTGCCTGCCTGCCTGCCTTCGTTTCTGGTTGTTTCGGAGCAGCTTCGGCTGAGAATAATAACTATTTGCCTCTTTTACTCAGCCGAAGCTGCTCCGAAACAACCAGAAACGAAGGCAGGCAGGCAGGCAGGCAGGCAGAATGGAGCACTGGATTGAACCGCGGGCGGCGGGGTGGGGGTGAACGGGCGCTTCGGAGGAGCTGCGCCAACAGGAAAAGCCACCCTGCCGGCTTCTTTGAAGCAGTTTCTTCCTGGGCTGGTGGAGGAGCGAGAGAGCGACTGAGAGAGGAACGAGGCAGACACCTGAGGGATGAGGCTGAGGGAGGGAGGGAGACACCTGAGGGATGAGGCTGAGGGAGGGAGGGAGACACCTGAGGGATGAGGCTGAGGGAGGCAGGGCCGAGAGGCAGGGCTTCTCAGCCGTCCTGCAGGGACTTGTCCTGAGCCGCGGAGACAGCCGTGGGCCACCGCCGCCCAGCGCTCAGTTTTGAAGGCGCTCCTCAGCCAGGCGCAGTTCCTGAATCTACAGCTGAAACCCTCCATTTTAAATGTCCCAATAGAAGAGAATATCTGTCGCTCAGGGTTGCAATGAGGAGGCATTGGCGCTCCCTGAACTTGGTGGTTTGCTGGCAGACGTTTTATTATCCGACTAGGTAACAACATCAGATGTTACCTAGTCAGGTAATGAAACGTCTGCAAGCAAACCACCAAACTCGGACTCCTCCCCCCCCCCCCCCGGTCCTTGAAAAAGTGTTTCTGCATGAAACTGGTCCCTGGTACAAAAAAGGTTGGGGACCACTGACCTAGAGGGCTCATGACAAAAGAGGTGACATTTACCACTCCCTAATAATCTGTTGGGTGTTATAATAGCTCAGTTCCTTTTGCACCACATATAATTTGTTACATTTTCCACAAAGTATAAACAATGGTCAGTCTGTAACAGAAAAATATTTTAGAAAGGTATTGCCTTAGAATCTTGAAGTCAAGCAATGGCAGAAAGATAAAAATAATAGCTGAGAAAAGAAGGAGTAAAACTGATGATCTGCTGCAACTCACAATCTTTATTCTGAGAGAACGTCT